TTTGAAAAATTGCTGGTTTCTCATAGGCCTTTCTGGGTTACCATTCCATAATACTTAAGAAATTAAAATAAATTTTCTGTAGAAGATAATTCAGGCTATGGAGAAAGCATGGTGACTAATGATCACAGGTACCTTTTATGCTCAGTAGGAGGTGGGTAAGGCATGATGTCTTGGAATCCTTAGCTTTTTCAGGTTTTTTCTAATGTTGGAGATAGGACTTCTACATATCAGTTATGGTTGTTCAGCTGTTCACATCTGGCATGGCTGGGTTTTCCCCCTGCTGACAGTCATGTGCAGTTTGGGCCATATCCCTAGGACTACATTTTAGTCGTTTGATGCGCTGGAGGATCACCCAACATCACCAAGTGCCTCTTCTGCTCTTCATCCTACATGTCTGCTGTCAATACTTGCCCAGGTCCTGAGCTGGATGAGTGTTTAGTCTGGTCCAGTACATCACTTTTTATTGCAAAGGTGGGTAGTGTTTCTTCAGTCAAGCAGATGGCAACTGAGGAACATGCACACAAAAGGGTTAATTTCCCCCAACTTTAGCAGCTTTAAAGTTAATCACGTATTTTGAGTTAGTTATTCATTGAGTTGATAGAGGATAGAGTAATTCCTGTCATTCTAGAGTAATCCCTGTCATTCTGTGAGACAGGGTGGGATCTTCTAACCAGCAACCTCTGTGATTCTGGAGCACAGCGCAACGATCGGTTTAGACTAGATGCTTGACTTTGAAGAAGCTACGGTTTAGTCATCAAGAACCAAATTTGCCACTTTATTTTGATATCGAAGTCAAGCAACATGCCCACATGGTGCAAGAGCTCCGTAACAGATACCGAAATAGCATCTTCTGCAGAAGCTGGGATGATGATTAAATGCCATAACCCTGACACGTCTGTTCCCTCTTGGAAGCTCCTACCATCTTTTGTAACACACTTTCTGCACTTTCATACCTCTTGCAACAAAGGAGCCTGCAAAGAAGAACCTCATGAGGTTCAACAGGGAAAAGTGTAGGGTCCTGCACCTGGGGAAGAAAAATGTCAGGTACCAGTATAGGTTAGGGGTGGACCCGCTAGAGGCAACTACTGAAGAGAAAGATCTAGGGGTCCTGGTGGACAGTAAAATGACAATGAGTAAACAGTGTGCTCTTGCGGCCAGGAAGGCCAATGGTATCTTGGGTTGTATAGGGAAGAGTGTAGCCAGCAGGTCAAGGGAAGTCATTCTCCCCCTCTACTCTGCACTGGTGAGGC